CTTACGACCCGTACCCAATCGCCAACGTTCTTTGGAGTGGTAAACACAGTCGCGTCAGGCGTACTGTGGGATTCCGGAAGATTCAGGACGACTTGGGAGATTGGGTCATCTTTCGCGCTGGAAACCGATCGAGCCTTGCGGTTTCGGCTTCCGGAAGTTCCCTTCTGGGTACCATTTTTGATACGAGGGACAGAAGAGACTTTTTTGCGCGAGTTTCTGTTTGCAACAGTCCTCTTTGGAGGATGTTCTTCCTCCTTTGGACAGTGTGGGTCGGCAGTTTTTGGACTCACTTGGGCCTGCCTTGTGTCAATCTGCGTGTCGACAGATTGAGTTCTGACTGATGTATCCCGACCGCGCTTGCCGAGACACTTTTTTGCGGCATTTACTATTGAGATGGCTTCGGTTAACAGGCTATTTGCATCCAAACAGCACTGTTGACATAGCCATACGCACCCATTTTTACTGAGCCGCTTGAAAGCTGCAGGCGTTAGATTCGTGCAAACATCGTGGTACCAACCTTTGCACTCATCGAACTGCATGCCGCTATCAACAGGATATCGACATCCTGGGCGGTGGCAAATGCTTTTGTTGAATCTTCCAGTCATTTTAGGATGCGAATGTGAGTGTTGACTACAAGTAGAAAAAAAACTATAAACAGTTAGGACCAAAGTACTAACAGACACAATGGAAAAACAAAGGTACTCTGGAGTACTGACGATAAAACTATTTAGGATACCAAAAATAATACTCTAATAGAATACTTTAACTGAAAGAAATTCAATCAAAGTATAAAAACAGTAGTCTTGATAAGTTAATAACGATCAAAACAATAGAATTTACTCAACGAGGAAAAATACCACTGTCCTTTTTAAATAGCGCGCGATATGGTCAGAATCCAATGTCAAAAACTTACAGAGCTATTTATTTTGGGGGTTTATTTACCGCTACAGAATAACACACGTCGAAGTCCTGTCATCAATACACATATTTGAATATGAAAATCGGAATCTGAATAGAGCAGGATTATTACTGATAACCGACAGAGTTCGCCTCTCCACTTAACAGACGCAGATACCAAGCATCAAACTGCTAGGTGAAATGTTTGGGGTTTAAGCTCCAAGTTTTCTTTTAAATTGGCGGTCGCGAAATTTCAAAGTAAACGGATCATCTCACTAGGTTCCCGCACATTGTCTTATGGGCTAATTGTTCACCTTAACCCATATTTTTACGGCCGATCAGTTCGTAGTGAGCTTGCTACCACTCTCTGGCCTTTTTATGTACTCAGAATCGCATGTTGTGCGGGAGTTAGTTGACATTGTGTAAGTTCCTATTAATTAGCACACGTCGCGTTTTATCGATGTAACTATATTGTTAACTAATTGATTAGCTGTTAAGTATAATGTCATTTCGATTCAGGTCCAACGAAATGATCATGACGTCGTTAACATTAGGATTTCAATGAGTGACCTGACCATTCATATTACTAGGGGAAACAGCAACAGCAGAGAAAACACTTATGGCTCAAACTAAGGGTTGATCATGCAAACCCTTTGTATCCATCGTAACAGGACTTGAACTCAAGAAGCGTTTAGTTACTTGACTTCGAATAATTTTTTTTGTAGCAGTTAGTGGTTCTGATAGATAGCTATCTGCCTTTTTACATTGAAGTAGGCAAATGACTGTCCGAATATAGGGCTCGATTGTTAGGAGTTAATCTCCTAAGTGCTCGAATGACGCCTATCTGAAGTACGTACATTTATTTTCGAATTTTACTCAGTATTGAGAGATTTTGTCTCGACTTGAAGTCAACATAGGTCGTAGCACACTTTGTTTTTACCTACCTAGACTAGCTTTAGGTTTCTTAACGAAAATTAGTGAGTAATCTAGGCTTAGTCATACGTTTCACCAAGTCGGTTTGTCAATTGCGTAGTATTTGAATTACAACATTAAATGTCAGGGATTATATTCTTTTGGCAGTCGCTTCATGAAAATTCGTTGGCCGATTGTGATCTAATAAGATTTCTTTGAAGTCTTTTATTTTTAGGATTTCCGTGGAGACTGAAAATAAAAATTGTCATCCAAGTTTAGCAGTTAGTACAACACCATTTCAGCTTATGGCTTGAATATTACACTTCTCGTTCATTACAGCAACAAATATTTTATGTAAATAAATAATATATTTGTAATATCCCAATGAGTAGGAAAATTAGATTTTCTGACGTTCCGTGACTCAGTGTAAGCCACTTCTTCAGAGAATAAATAACCAAATTAACAATAATCCAAGTTTAAAAAGTACAACGGAACAATCCAAGAATAATTAGGTGATCAATGACGTGACATTGATTTATTCAGACCTGTTTTTGATTGATCACCTAATTATTCTTGGATTGTTCCGTTGTACTTTTTAAACTTGGATTATTGTTAATTTGGTTATTTATTCTCTGAAGAAGTGGTTTACACTGAGTCACGGAACGTCAGAAAATCTAATTTTTCTACTCATTGGGATATTACAAATATATTATTTATTTATAACAATCTACCCAATGCTCAATTTATTCAAAACTATCAAATCAAAACTTGGTAATGATACCTACAAATATTTTATGTGTTTGTTTCCTCATGCAACACGTTTGATTCTCATTTATTCCAATTCCTAGCCATTAAAGTGGATGTTGTTGAGGTTAAGCAACCATAGAAACTCAGGTATATTGACTGTATTCGTATTTGACTGCAACCAGGTTGTAACTTGAATGATGCTGCCTATTTCCAGAATCTAAAGCTTTGATGTTTGCAGATATGACAAAAACATTTTTTTCTACATTTATAAACTCGAAACATTTTATTTTTACCCTTTATTCTGTGTATTTGGTTGCCAGCACAAAATAAAGCAACCAAAGTAGGTCGCTTGTGACAAGAAAGCTCTCAAAGGTCACGCCCCATATGTGTAGACTAGATTCGAGGAAACGACTGAAAACTGGTCACTAATAAAGTTTGCTATCTAATTGCAGAACTAGCCTCGAATACGTTTGTTCTAACACTAATCACTCTCATAAGACACATAGGTTTGATTCAGATCGAAGTACTAGGTAAAGATGGGAAATTGGTTAATAAGGTAGTAAATCTTCATCAACTGAGGTGGTTGGAACATGTTTTACGTATGCTCAACCACCGCCTACCTCGACGAGAGATGTTTTCTGGTTCAGGAGTAGTTTGGGAGAAATCTAGGGGCTACCTAACCAAAACACAGCATCAGTCCATGAAGTCACTGACAATTAGGCTTCGACATGTTAGTAGGTGTAGACTGCCTGGTTAGGGAGTTTCATCAGCCCTTGTGGTCTGGTGTGTGACGAAATCTCAGCTCGGATACAGAAGGCTCGACTAGCTTTCACCAACTTGCGTCATTTATGGCGCAGGCGAGATATCCGTCTAGCAACCAGAGGACGGGTTTACTATGCAGCAGTTCGTTCTGTCCTACTTTATGACAGTGAAACATGGCCGATAAGAGTAGAGGGTATTCGTAGGCTGATAGTATTCGATCATAGGTGTCTTCGAAGCATTGCTCGTATATCCTGGGACCACCGGGTAAGTAATGCAGTTGTTAGGAAACAGGTATTAGGTAAGGATGGCAAATCGATTGATGAAGTAGTGGAACTTCATCATGTGAGATGGCTGGGACACGTGTTACGTATGCCCAACCACCGACTGCCCCAACGTGCAATGCTTTATAGTGTAGGAGTAGGTTGGAAGAAAGCTAGGGACGGCCAGACGAAAACGTGGCATAAATCCATGAAGTCACTGACAATTGGACTGAGCCATGTTGGTAGGTGTAGGCTATCTGGTTGGGATGCGCCAGATGACATGGCTCAAAATAGTTTGGCGTGGCGCAGGTGTATCCACTCTTCGTGTTCTCTCAAATTCTAATCTTCTGAATTCATGTCTCTATTTTTTCTCCTTCCAAATTTATTTCATTGGATTATATTCCTTGAATAACATCTTCAAACCCTAATCTTTCGGACTACTGCTTATACTTCTACTACCTCTAGTACTATGAGATTTGAATCGACATTTGTATCACAGCGCTAATGTGGTATGGCAACTTGAACTGATGTACGTACGTACAAAGTTCTACGTTGTAACTGACTGACTGAGAAATGGTAAACTTTGGTTTCAGTGACAATAATCTATTAATAAAGTTCTGAGGTTAAAGTTATACTCTTTTGTCCCATAAATATGTTTATATAGACGAGAAACCACGTAATTACTACTTTCTAAGCCCCCCATCCTCCCAAACCTGTGATTGTAATTGCTCTCTTAACCTGGTTTTAGCGAACATGTGTTCTTAACGTATATAACCCCAGTCCCAAATAAAAATGACTTCCTCCAAAAGTTACCAAAAGGCATACTCATCACATTACTGTTAACCAGACAATAAATCCTCGTAGGTACTTACAACTTGCGAAAAACATTTGAATGATTCACCCTTATTCTACTTAATAAGTATACCAAGATTATTTGCAGAGCAACTCCCTGGTTATCTATCAAGGTATGTAAACATTGCTCCTCCTGATTCAGCTCGATCTCATACGTAATACATAGTGAAATTAGCCACTAAGAAAATAACCTGGATCAATAATCCACCGGATTGTTCTATCTCGAATACGCGATGTTTGAAATCCCTTTGTAACTAGTTCATACTTTTGCTTAAAATGAGAGTAGTTTTGTCACGTATTAGTCTAATTATCTTGATATTCAAGATTAGTTCCAAGAGATGTGAGCTCTGAAGATAAAAAGACAGTTATTATGCTACATAAGTATTTATAAAGGATGACGTAACAAATTCGGTTAGTGCAATGTTCACTGTTAGGAAAAGACGTTTGAAGTGGATAAGGCATACATTACGAAAATCATCAACTGCATCACGAGACAAGCCTTAACTTGGAATCTTGAAGGGAAACGAAACCGAGGGAGGCTGAAGAACACAGTACGTCGGAAATCGGAGACAGACATGAAAAGGATGAATAGCAACTGGAAAGGATTGCCCAGGACAGGGTTGGGTGGAAAGTGCTGGTGGACGGCCTATGCTCCTCCACGAGGGATAACAGGTATAAGTAAGTAAGTAATGTTTACTGAGGGAAACGAGCTGATGACTTTTCAAATGACCGGAATAGTAAGGAATGGATCACCTTAACTAGGCATTCGGAACTGTTATATCCACCGTTTAGCCACCTAAGTGGGACACTGACAGTAGTCTTATAAAGAAATGAGAAAAGGCAGGCATATCCAAATGAAATCAAATCTACAGGTCTACCTAATTTGTAGACCAGTCCTTCCTCATATTTTTCACTTCCGGGTTTACGAAATTTTGAGATTATTTAATGATCCCGTTTAGTCCTTTTAATAAATCACTCGAAATACTGAAATATTTTCGTGCATATTTGTGTTTTTTTTAACGGTTCACAGATAATTAATGATGATTTCTACGGACCAAGAACTCAAAGTCTCTCGCATGACAAAAAGATCGCAGAATAAAAAACTATTCGGTCGCGATAACTACAAGTTGCGTGAGTTCGTATTGCAACCATATTGTATCCGGTATTTCGAAGTTAGCGGTGGAGTACGTCGATCATTTTTCAAATATATGCTTTTTGTTTTAGAATCGTGGTAAAGAGAAAGGTCAGCTCCTTCTCAGTCATGTTAAGTTCATCGAGAAAGTACAGGATGATGAGCTTGATAACAAAAAGAATGCTTTCCAGGTATGTTTAAAGTTATTTACTTCTTATTGTTATTTGGAAGGTTGCTTATGCAGAAGATGCGATTTCCAGCACTTGGTATCTCCTGTATATTGTCGCAAATTCCGCCATTGAACGAGATGACTGGATTAGTCTGGTCAGATTTTGTAAGTTAATACAGCTAGATATACATTAGTGATTTTTCGGTACATACTTCTTAACAATTTATTCAATAAAGCTCTTGTAAACATTCTAGATACACGTGAACGAGGAGCTTCTTTTCTGCCACGTTATCATCCAGGTGTTTGGAAACGTCCTGGTAGATATAGCTGTTGTGATGACATCAATCGTCGATCTATGGGGTGTCAGCCTACTAATGAGCCAGGTCCATCTGTGGTCATTGAGCAACTTTGGCGCACAGCTACGGGGGTCGACTCAAATAACTGTCAACCTCAAATTCCGCAGGCTGCAACGACAGCTAATATAGTGACAAATACACAACCTTATCCTGTTTCTACTCCTCAATTAGTTACAATGCAGCTTAATTCAAACGTGCAACTTACGTCTAATCCACTATCCGTGTCCGATTTGAATTCGACCAACATAACTTCCACTTCAGCTTCATTTATACCACTTACTTCCGCTGTCGGGTTGCCTGTACTTCATCAAACACCTGGTCTTTCAACTCCTGTCACGGGAGTGTTAATGTCTACCACCGTTACTAGTTCGATTTCTCCTTCAACCTTATTTCAAATACAACAACAACAACAGCTTCTACTACAGCAGAAACAACAACAGCTTGCTATGCTTGCAAATAACAACGCAGGTCAATTTTCCCATTTAAATAATGCATTGCGTCGGTCAGGAATGAATCAAAATAGAGGACATTCCTTACGTTATATTCAGCCAACTTTTGATATGGTAAGTGCCAATCCATATTCTTCTAGTCTCAGTCAGTTATAATTCATACTAAGGACTGTAAGTCTAGATAGTAGGATTTTAGTTTGTAATACATTGATATAAACTTTTAGCAAGCAATCTTAATGGGATGTCAATATGAGACCTTCAACTCTTGACGTAGTTAGAAATACTGTAGTTAATCAAAAGGGAGGAAGAGCAGCATGTCCTGATGGACTAACTCCTGCGTTTTTTAAATGTGGTGGTCCAGTTTTAGCAGTTAACTGGGATTTTAGCTGAAATCCCGAGACTGGATGTAATCCTATCTGACTGGTCTCGATCACTGATCGTCCCAGTCTATAAGAAAGAACAAAACTCCTCTTGTGATAATCACAAAGGAATCAGTTTGGTAATATAGAGTCTAAAATATTAGCCTCTATAATCATTTAACGCTTTTCTATGGCTCATAAAAAGAAAAATAGAGCAAGGCATGTTAATCTCAGTCTTAAACATGGATGTGTAGATGGACTATTCGCCCTACGTCACGTTCTGGAACATGAACATACGAACGTCCGACCATATTTGTGTTCCTTGATTTTGCAACAGCACTCAGCCCCTTGGATTAACTCACTAAAGTTTGCGCATATTCTCCAGTTGAGATGTTTCATTAACACGCTCAATGCCATACTGTACTTTTGAGCTTTCTACAGGTCACTCCTTAATTATATTTTACGTTTGTAAGGTGAAAAGCACCCCGGAAATCTTCAGATTTCCACTCGGAGTTTCCAGAAGGTACTAGGATTATTTCTATTTAAGCCCGAAACAACTATACATTCTGTCCGTTCTAGATTCGTTATGGAATCCTACAGTAGTTTATCAATATCCAGAAGCTGAAGGTAAACAGAACTGTAAGCGTCAGTGTATAGATATATCAGACGTGAAAGATGAAATAATATTTTCCGAATAACTCTACCTCATTAGGTGACTATAGCTGGTGTTGAAATAAAAATAGAATTCCGTTGTCGAGAAATACTATTATTTTCCAGAAAAATTGTCACCCAAGACTAAATAAAGCTTGGATTTATTCCAGTCTTCTCAAAATTTTTAAGTTACTCTTGGAATTTTAAAGTTTAAGTAATTAGACTCATCCTCATTGGCTCATCCATGAGGTTACCGAAAGCGAATTCTTTGACTGTATTATGTAGCTAATAGATTTGTTTCATACTCCATTTTTGGCTCGTTCTTATTCTCTGGTGGCTGAGATACAAAAGTTACTAATTATGGTATCAGAAGAAAAGGTATTTGTGCTACAGAACATTTTACTCGTTAATTCTTTACCAATGAGGATTTTGTCAATACTGTTATTTAATAATTTTTATAAGTACCTGTACATAAAGTATACTATTTGCTGTCCTAACCTACTTTTAGGATGAAGGAGAAAATACAGTTATTGCAGTGTACAACTATAATCCTGTAAGGGAAAACCAACTGCCTTTACAAAAAGGTGAAAAGTATTACGTAGTCAATCAAAGTAATGCTCAATGGTGGTATGTTAAGAATATGACTGGTCAATTGGGTTATGTTCCTACTAATTATGTTCATAAACCAAACAGTCTCAATTCATTTGAGTAAGTTTATATTGTTGATCCTATGAATTTTATTACTAACTAACCAAGTATTTTATTTCCACCGAGCTTTCAGCAACAATTCAGTTTCGTGAGAATTCCACCATGTAAAGGCATTTATTGCCCTACTGTAAGTGCTACCTTGACGTAGTGGTCGGGCCTACCTATCGTGATGACTCAAACGAGCTATATTGGCTGTAACACATGCTTCTTTAGGCCCTACTATGCCAGGCAGTCAGTCAGTCAGCTACAACGTAGAACCAGACAAGTCGGTTAGAGAACAGTAGGACTAAAAGCACCAACCTAAGGTCCGAGTGTGAGGTCGTACTACTGACTGTATAGGGTTATGACGGTGTGGTGTATGCTACTTATGTCTATATAAGTATTATGTAACAACAATTGGAAGTGGAACGCCTGTCAGCAGAAGGTTGGGAAGATCGAATCGAAGAGAACGGGAACAGAGAGTAATTGTAATAGCAATGAAGGAACGATTAAGCTTGAGACAATTGATCGAAGATTTGCAAATAAAGTCCTGAATGTATGATTTTCACATTTTACCAAGCAACTCTGTAGATCTATGTTGAATAATGAATCGGTTATCTCTACCTGTGTTCTCATTCATTACATTTTGGTGTCGCCGCCAATGGAAAGGTGGAGAGAGGGAGTTCTGTGGATGCCGTTTTGGGAACTAGATAGGAGGCACTTGTTAGGGCGGTCCGGCGCTATAAGGTGACGTTGAGTGACGAGTTCTGGCGGGATGGCGTTGGCTGTAGCACTCAAGATCACTATTCACAATCAATCTCCCTCTTTAATTCCTATTATTCCTCCTACCTCGACTTTCAACACTAAACTTCCTCTTTTGACTTCCTCCTCATGTGTCACCATGGCCAACGACTTTAGTGCGCGGAAACACTGTCCCGGGTCTGCTGAAACCTCGCTCCAAACTACACATTGGAGCCTTCAACGTACGTACCCTAAGTCAAATCGGTCAACAGGCCTCCTTGGCTAAGATCCTAGAATCTCTTACCATCGATGTATGCTGTGTCTCCGAAACACACATACAGGATCCCAGTGTGGTCATTCACTCGACCTCACCTAGCCTAACTGGAGAGCCGACGAGATACACCCTTCGTGTATCTGGCGACCCGATGTCTAGTTCTCGTGGACCTGCAGGTGTAGGCATAGCACTTAGTACGAGAGCAGAACAAGCACTATTATAGTGGATCCCCGCTCTGTGAAAACTCGGAAGGATAGGGACACACGTCGTTGCCTTTTCGCCGTTTCTGCCTACGTTCCCACTGACTGTAGCCCGGATGAAGTGAAAGATGACTTTTACAGAAAGCTCTCTGAACTTCTTCATAAAGCTAAACACTCAGACATAATACTCGTTGCAGGTGACTTTGATGCCGAAGTAGGTAGCTTAAACCAAACAGAAAGACATTTAGGTGGGTATTTTAGTATCCCGACTCAGTGGAAAGATAATGGTGATCGTCTGTTTTAACTGTGCTCAGACAATCGTTTATTTTTAGCAAATACTAATTTTAAGCATGAGGAGAGACATCGGTCTAACATGGCGACCACCTGCAGCAAACCAACAATGGACTCAAATAGACCATATTGCCATCAGTCATCGTTGGAGAGGCTCGGTAGAAAACTGTCGCTCACTCTGGAGTACATGTTTAGACTCTGATCATGCTCTAATGCGAGCACGCATTTTTTTGCGCCTCACTGGACGCAGAAAAACCATACTAAGAAGACCCATTAGAATTGAACTCAGTGACGATAAAGTCAAAAGTAAGTTCCAGGAACAACTGAATTCACATTTAGGCGGTTCTGTAAACGAGGCTGACCCAGATGTTTCTTAGAAAGATATACAAACAGCTGTGGAAACAGCAGTAGCATCTATTAGTTATTTAAATCATAGGGCTCCAAAAAACCAGTGGATTTCTTCTAAGTCTATTTCAGTGATGGATTCAGGCTCTGAACACGACGAAGAGCGTAAACAAATTAGATCTAGGTTAACTAAAAGTCTAAGGAACGATCGTGAGCAGTGGTGGGCAAGGAAAGTAAAAGAGATGGAAAAGGCAGCGGCTGTAGGCAACACCAGGCAATTCTTCGGACTAATAAAAGAAACCGGAATTAAGAAGTCAAATGTAAGTGAGACAATCTCGGAAAAAGACGGAACCCCTATCTGCTCTCGGCCCAGACGTTTAGAACGATGGGCGGAACACTTGAGAGAACAGTTTAGCTGACCTCCAGCTACTCTACAGTTACTCACCATTCTCAGACAGTCTGAATGGAACATCGAAGTAGGTCCCCCGACTCTGGCTGAAGTTCAAAAGGCTATAAGTAATCTGAAATGAGGAAGAGCAGCTAGTCCAGACAATATGACTCCAGAGGTCTTAAAGTATAGTAGTCCAATTTTAGCGATTAGGTTGACTAATGTTTTTGATAAAATCTGGGAGTTGGATTTAATCCCACCTGACTGGTCACAATCACTTATTGTCCCAATATATAAGAAAGGGTCGAAATCATCCTGTGATAACCGTTGAGGGATTAGTTTCACTAATATAACATTTAAACTACTAGCCTCATTAATTATCGGGCGCCCAACAAAGACTCGTGAACTGCAAACACGAGGAAATCAGACTGCCTTCAGACCTGGTCGTGGCTGCACCGACCACATATTCACCATTCATCCGATCTTAGAACACAGACATGCTTATCGGGGTCCGGCAATAGTGGTATTTCTTGACCTAAAAGCAGCATTTGACTCTGTAGACCGGAAGGTTCTGTGGCAGTGTCTGTCATTGAAAGGTGTACCTCAGAAGTACATAAACCTTGTGAAGGCTCTTTAATCGAACACTACCAGTCGATTCAGAGGTTATGGAGAACTGTCATGTGATTTTGCAACCTCGAGTTGTGTCCATCAAGGCTGTCCACTATTCCATTTTTGTTTAACTTCATCATAGATCTATTGCTGGAAATAACACTCTCTTCGACTGAATTTTCAGGAACTGATCTCTTAACAGGAGGTCCACTTATCGGCTTAGAATACTCAGATGACATAGTCCTGTTTGGTGAAGACGCTGACAAAATGCAGAGTCTTCTGTTAGAAATGAGTAATAATGCCAGGATGTTTGGGATGCGTTTCTTCCCATCTAAATGTAAATTAAAAAGGAACGAATCGAGCGAAGAAATTTCTTTTCAATTAGTTTTTCATCATGGCTCTACACTATATATATATATATATATATATATATATATATATATATATATGATTTGTAAATCATATACATGATTTGTAGGAATAAATAATATGTTCGATGCTCAGAGGAAGATTATTCAAGGATACATATAACTCTATTGTATAACTTTCTATTGATATTATCAACGAAGGAATCAAAGTTCTGGTTTACACTATCATTATCATTTTACTTACAATTTATTTACAAGTATGAAATCTTTTCGGTCTTTACTTAAACTTTTTGGCCCTTAGTTCCCTGATCATATCAAACTACTTTGTTTTTATTTCATTTCATGTCATTCATTTGGAATATTACTACATTCATATCATTTTCTTTCGTTGTATTTCAGTTGGTATTACAAAGATATTACTAGGCAACAAGCTGAAGCTATTTTACTAGACGAGAATCGCGAAGGTTGTTTTCTTGTTCGAGACTCAGTCAGCAAAAAGAATACATACACTTTATCAGTTACTTCGAAAGACCCTGAAGCGTAAGTTTCATAATAAACAAATTTGATAGGAACCAACCATACTTTTATATCATTTCATATGTGAAGATTTTCGTCACTGATTGACTTGATCCGAGAAAACATTAATCAATAGGTACCACTAGGAAGTTGTTTCATTCTTGTTCGTCTTAAATTATTTTATCATCAAACTGTACGCCTTTTGTCTTCTGTTTCAAAAAGGTCGATTTTTTTCTAGGATTATTGACCAACTTAGTGTAACTTGATATTTAACTGAAAATTGAAACCACAATCCTACGCCTGTTTATTGATTTATGTTATTATCTATCATTATGAAGTCTTAAAAAGATGAAATTAATACATAATGCTGACGTTTCAAAACAAATTAGTCTTACGAAGTTCAAATTAGATTAATCTTCTCAAATCCCTTTTATTAATGTATTAAACAAAATTCTGAGTGATTCAGCTATGCTTCTCATTTATAGTTATATGTAGCATCCCCGTCTTGTGGACCTCATTATCTCTGAAACCCTATCCATCGAGTTACTATAAACTAACATAAGCTAACCCAACACGAATAGCCTTTAAATACTTTAAAGAATAAGATTTGGGAGGTTCGGTGCTGTAAGATAAATATTTAAACAAATTTACTTTCAATAACTTCACTGTGTTCAAGATTACAACAAACTAGTTGTCTTAGATTACTTTTCCAGACGTGTTTTAACATACAGCGTTCAGGAAGTTAGTAAATATTTCAGAAACATTTGTATGAGGCAGTTTATGTAACTGTTCATACATCGAGCTGCTAAGCGATGACTCCGATACACTGAGTAACGTGACGAAATTTCGCTCATTTCAACTTATTTTCGCATACGCTTTAATAATTTGTGTTGTACTATCAGAAAGTTAATATAGATCAAATGGTTGGTTGTGTTACTTGGTGGAAGCACAGTTTGTGTTTGTGATACTTAGCTTTATTTAATAACTTCGACTTTTTTATGGCTGGTTAGTTAACAGTCTTTTATCATTGTAGTTCTAAAGTTATCATTTTATAATTGATTGTGGTTACATGAAAGAAATTTTTTACCTTCCGGTATATTCTCTTCATGCATTTGTTTTTTTGACTCATCTTTTTATTTCATTCCTTCCGTCTTTTTTATTTAGTTCTTTTACTTTCCTTAATTTTGTTTTGAGATTATACTTATACATACCTATCTTGAGCTATATAGCTCTTTTCAATAACGAAATAGTAAATTCTGTGTACTCGCTAAATACTACCAGTGAACCATCATCCGAATTATTAAGTACCTTTATTGCCTAATTCAAATATGATATATTTCTCAAAATTAACATCTTGGATTAAAGAATATTTGCTTACAACTGAAAATTTTTTGTACGGTTGTCGAAAATATTAAAACCTTTGTATTGCTTTTTCACACTTATTTTATTTCAGACCAGGAAAATTAAAAGTACATCATTATCATATCCATAGAACAGAGTCATCAAGTCTGAATGGACACATGAATGGATGTGGTGTTGGTAGTGGTAGTGGCAGCAACAGTGGTTTAAATTCTACTGCATCTGTTGCTGCTACCAGCATTACAATAACAACAACAACAACTAATACCATTGTAAACATGAATGGTTCAACTGGTACAGGATCGAATACCCCGAAAGTTGGATCAACCATTAATGGTGAAGCACAATATTATTTATCTGAAAAGCACGCATTCCCTACAATCAGTGATGTCATACATTATCATAAGCATAATTCTGGTGGATTAGTTGTTCGACTCAGATCACCACCGACCAAAGATCGAGAAAGTCCTGTCACAGCTGGGATGGGTCTAGATGAGTTTGAACTCGATCCAGCTGAACTTCATTTAGAAAGAGAGCCAATCGGAAAAGGACAATTTGGAGTAAGTTGTTTTGATATCGAAATTCTATCTATCTCTAAGATGATTCTTAGACATAACTACTGTTCACATAAATCGCTTCTAGTCGTCACGTTACTTGTATATTCATTGATGCCCACTCAGCGGTGTATTATTATGACGAGATTTACTATCGATATCGTGTACTGTCGTAAATTATACAGACACTACTTTTCTGATTATAAACTGTTATGTTCGCTACTTGATTAACGCCGAACGCTGCATACAACTACGGCACTCGAACGTAGGGAACCCCACAGTCGCAAAATTAAAAAAATCAGAGGAAAGTTGAAGAAGTGTTTGTTGATTAAGAATCAGAATGTACAGAAATTAGCGTTTGTTATAACATCATTATAATTCAGTCAATCCGCAAAGAGGCAAGTTCTGCTACTGTCCAGTCGTAGCATTCCACATGGATATTCTAGAAAGCTCCATCTTCATCTGACTGGGTGGAAACTCTTCGGCTCCTGTAGGGCCTCTGGAAGCTCAGTGGCCAAATAAAACTTTTAAGAAATTAAATCAATATCGCTCAAAGGTGACTCTTAGATCGCTTTTTGACGTATTTTTGTTACATTAATTTATGAACTTTCAGTCCATTCTTACTATCATTTGTGTTTAGCGACAATTACTTAGTACATCAATTCTCATCGTTTTAAACGATGTATAACCGATTAACCTAAATGCATTTTTATTGCCATGGGGGTCAGTATAAAAAGAAACTTCTTGTATGAAACTGGACTTCTCAATACAGTTGGTGGAGTAGGGAAAAAGAGGTTAAATGTAGTCTCGTTCACTGTTTTAGAGTCGGAGTTACGAATTGTTAGCTTAGGGCACGGACGTATCAAAACTTCTGTTTAAAATCAAGTATAATTAAAACAGTATGTACACTACCAGATAATATTACCAAAACATCACTGTCACCTCTCCAGGTTATCAAGCATATGTCCATTAAGTTCTGTAATATAAATCATCGGAAATTGGACTAAAATTATACTTCATCTATTTTACCGTCAGTGAATGTAAAGAAAAGCAAGTAAGCCAGTTATTTCGAACTATTTTCCACGAAACTGCCACGTGAAACAATAACTGTGGGATTCGGAAAAATAATATTACTATCAACAGACTTCTTTTCACTTAAATCTACAAATTCCCCTAATTCTAATCACAATTTCTACATTGAATCAAACATATGGCGGTTAAATAATTCATCTTTTTTAGAATTTGTTTTCCTTTATTACACACTTCAGTGTAGATTTTTAAACTAGTGCATGTTACTTTATTCAGTAACTATAAGGTCAAACTGAAATAAACTCAATAATTCACTTTTAATCCTATTTCATTAGACTTTGATTTTTAGAATAGAATTCACTAAACAAGTATAGGTTCGTGTACTCAACCACGCTATTTTTTTGTGGGTTATTTATACTAATTAGCTACCCAAACAAGGAGTGAGTGGAGCTACGTTCAACTATTTGATCCATTGGTTAAAAACCGAGTGTTTCAATGACTAAGTCACTCCTCCTTGACCTTTAAACTTAACCTATAACTTATACTGTCCTGAAAAGTGATCAGATTAGGTAATAATTTATCATTGTGCTTGACTTTCTGAAGTCGTTACTGTTTAAATCGGTTGGTGTTAAAAACCTACGCCGGCAACATTATTGACATTTTCTGTCTTTTCATTGATATTTAGTCGTTATAGAGTTGACTATCATTTGAAGTCTTATATGTTTTGGATTATACTAAGATGGTGTACCAGGTCATGAAAATAGTTAATGTTCAATTTTACTAATACTTATACATTTACAGTACTAAAAGACATACTGTATCATTTTTATGCCATGATGTATTATAATTTTTAATAATCCTACGTCCCATATTTACAATATTGATTGGGGAATAGTGAATTGTTTGTATTCAACATATATTATTTCGGTAGTGTTTATTTCCAATTTCATTGAACAAGTAATTTGACGTGAGTAGATTTATTGAATTTCGTTTTAATGATGTAGCATAATAGCTCTGACAAAAAAGCCGTATAACTGATAGCAAACCATATATCTTGACGAACAAATACTAACATGTTTTCATGTTAAATTAGTCTTTAATTATTCTCTATTCCTACTAAACGAAATTATTATATTACTTCCAAGATGAAACGCATTTCATCATTTATTCTAGGGTAAGGGTCTGTACAAATTTGACACGCGTCTCAAATCTACTCTTGGAATAACTGAATCTAAGTTGATATTCAAAGAATTCACCGACATCAATTGTAATGAGCAAGAACAAAGATTCTAACAGAATAGCATGAATTCATTTTATTTTGTTTAGTTCTCGTCAACTGCTAACAACCAGTCAGTCAGCAACATACGTAGGACTTCGTATGTACATACATCAGTTCAAGTTGCCATACCACATTAGCGCTGTGATACAAATGTCGATTCAAATCTCATAGTACTAGAGGTAGTAGAAGTATAAGCAGTAGTCCGAAAGATTAGGGTTTGAAGATGTTATTCAAGGAATATAATCCAATGAAATAAATTTGGAAGGAGAAAAAATAGAGACATGAATTCAGAAGATTAGAATTTGAGAGAACACGAAGAGTGGATACACCTGCGCCACGCCAAACTATTTTGAGCCATGTCATCTGGCGCATCCCAACCAGATAGCCTACACCTACCAACATGGCTCAGTCCAATTGTCAGTGACTTCATGGATTTATGCCACGTTTTCGTCTGGCCGTCCCTAGCTTTCTTCCAACCTACTCCTACACTATAAAGCATTGCACGTTGGGGCAGTCGGTGGTTGGGCATACGTAACACGTGTCCCAGCCATCTCACATGATGAAGTTCCACTACTTCATCAATCGATTTGCCATCCTTACCTAATACCTGTTTCCTAACAACTGCATTACTTACCCGGTGGTCCCAGGATATACGAGCAATGCTTCGAAGACACCTATGATCGAATACTATCAGCCTACGAATACCCTCTACTCTTATCGGCCATGTTTCACTGTCATAAAGTAGGACAGAACGAACTGCTGCATAGTAAACCCGTCCTCTGGTTGCTAGACGGATATCTCGCCTGCGCCATAAATGACGCAAGTTGGTGAAAGCTAGTCGAGCCTTCTGTATCCGAGCTGAGATTTCGTCACACACCAGACCACAAGGGCTGATGAGACTTCCAAGATAATTGAAGCTGTCAACACACTCAACTACTCCACTCCCTATCATTAGTTCAGGTGCCGATGCAAACCGATCCTGAAGTAACATTTTGCACTTCGAGGGAGAGAATCGCATCCCGAACATGCCTGCATAGTTGCTTATAGTGGTCAGAAGACTCTGCATTTTGTCAGCGTCTTCACCGAATAAAACTATGTCGTCGGCGTATTCTAAGTCAACAAGTGAGCCTCCCGGTAAAAGTTCAACTCCAGGAGATTGAGATGATGAAAGTGCTATCTCTAAAAGCATGTCAACGACAAAGTTAAACAAGAATGGAGAGGGTGGACAGTCCTTACAGACACCACTTGAAGTAACCAATTCTGATTACAGTTCGTCATAGGCTGTAACTCGACCAGTTGTGTTCGAGTAGAGAGCCTTTATAATGTTTGTGTACTTCTTTGGTACTCCTTTCAGTGACAAACACTGCCACAGAACCCCACGATCAACGGAGACAAATGCTGCCTTAAGGTCGAGAAATACTAATATTGTGGGGCGTCTGAATGTGTGTCTATATTCTAGGGTCTGACGTAGTGTGAATATTTGGTCTATACAACCACGTCCAGGTTGAAAACCAGCCTGGTTTTCTCTAGTCTGGTCTTCGCAAGCTTTAGTTGGGCATCAAAGTATTATTGAAACTAATTTTTTAGACACTATATTAGTCAAAGTGATTCCTCTGTGACTGTCACAAGAGAACTTTTGTCTTTTCTTGTAGACTGGCACAACCAGTGATTGGGACCAGTCAGATGGAATTACGTCCAGTTCCCAGATTCTACCTAAAACTTCAGTCAATCTCACTGCCAATACCGGACGACCATCGTTAAAAATCTCAGGGGTAAACCTGTCAAGTCCTGCTGCTCTCCCTTGCTTCAGATTTCCTATAGCTTTTACAACTTCGGAAAGAGTTTGAGGACTTACATTAACTTGCCATTCAGGTCGACTGGGGATCGTGGGAAACCGAAGTTTGACTGAAGGTCAGTTAAACTAATCCCTAAAGTGTTCTGCCCATCGATCCAATCTCTTAGATTGAAAATGAATAATATGTCCATCATTTTTCCGAGATGGTTTCGCCAATAGTTAAATTGTTAATACTGGTTTCCTTGACAAGTCTAAACCGTTGTCTGCTGTTACCTATTGCTTCTGCCTTTTCCATCTTTCTTACTTTCGCTACGCACCACTGTTTGCGATCATTGCGTAGGCTTCTTGTTAGCCTGCGCTTAAGCTGACTCCTCTCTTCGTTATGTTCGGAGCCAGATTGGATGAGTTTTCGAGCATCTATCAGTGCGGTAGATGCTGCTGAGATTCAGTATTTCTCCGTAACCTCATGGTTTACCTAGTTGGTAGATTTCACTGCGGTTTCCACAGCTTTCCGATATCATCCCGCTGATGTCATTCCAAGCTACCTCGGAGTGGGGACCACTCACATGACTGTCCAACGGTTTTTCAAGTTGTTCCTGAAATATATTTTTAGTTCTCCTATCATTAAGTAGAACACTAAGAGGCTTCCTTGCAGCGTCTTTCCTGCGTCCAATAAGACGCAGACAGATACGCGCTCGCAATAGAGCATGATCTGAATCTAAGCCTGTGCTCCAGAATGAGCGACAGTCTTCTATTGAGCCCCTCCATCGGTGGCTGATAGCAATGTGATCTATTTGGGTCCAACGTTGGGACGAATTCGGGGGTCGCCATGTCAAAAGATGTTTTTCCTTGTGCTTAAAGTTAGTTTTTGCAAGAAACAGACGGTCGCCATTATCTGTTCTTTGAGCCACGGCACCATAAGATCCACCTAGGTATCTTTCCTTTTCACTTAACTTACCTACTAAAGCATTACATTCACCAGCCACTATTACTACATCAGAGCGCCTAACATTTTGGATGAGGTCAAAAAGCTTTCTGTAGAACTCATCTTTTACATCATCTGCGCTGCAGTCAGTGGGAGAGTAGGCAGAGACGACGAAGAGGCAACGACGACTGTCCCTATTTTTCCGAGTCCTTACTGTTCCGTTTAGTCGGACAGTGCACAGAAGACTGTCTACTGGGATTTAGTCTAAAAGAGCTGGTCTGCCCTAGGAATCAATGCTGTATCTACGCCAGCGAGGCTACGGGAAGTAGCATCAGGGCTTCCAGATACACGAAGTGTGAATCGAGTTGGTTCTTTATTTTGACATGGTGAGGTCAAATGAATGACGCTACTCGGATCCTGTATGCGCGTTTCGGAGACGCGGCACACATCGATGGTGCGAGATTCTAAAGTCCTAACTAGGAAAGCCTGTTATCCTATTTGGCACAGTGTTCGGACGTTAAAAGCTGCTACATTTAGTTTAGAGCGTAATTTCAAGAGACCGGGAACAACCTTCTGCGTAATGGAATCGTTTGCACTAGCGGCGCGAGGTTATAAAGAACGTGGGAAGGGTTGTTCGTTCCGGTAAGATAGTCATTATAAGTATCAGGAAGGATTTGAAAGTGACCAACTTGGTCTCATGTGTTGTTATGGGTATGAGGGCTGATGCCACTTTCCGGCTGCTCACACCGTGGAAGGGTATTTCTTAAAGAACCTGAAAAGGAAGTTGGATTAGTGTTGGTCTTAACGACCTGAGAATGTGATCGCAGAGCCCAAGAGACAACTGCTTGAGGTCGCTCACGCCCGGCCTTTTTGTGGGAGGTTTTTGACGTGTTAGCTCCGTTCTTTAAAAGGCCTTACCGCCGGAAACGATAATCCGTGAGGAAAGGGGAGGTGTGACATTTTTAGAGTCGACCTCTTCTCACCCCTTCCTTCCTTGTGAGAAGGCAGCATCGCTGTTATGCTGGTTGCCTGAGGGAAACACCCTACTGCTGTCACACCCCTCCACAATCAGCAGTACGACTTCGCCCCCAGACCTTGAGTTGCTGCTTTTAGTCTTGCCATTCTCCAATAGACCTGCCTAGTGTGGTAGAACCTGCAGGAACATATGTTCCAGCCAATATAGCTCGGTTGGGTCATCACAATAGGCAAGCTCGACCACCACGTCAAGGTAGCAGCTGCGATCGAGCTGCTAACAACCTGTGATATTTGAAATCGGTTTTGATTACTTACATGAAAGAGATAATTCGGAAGCTATTTTGAAAACACATTAGGATAGTATAGGCAGTAGTGTAAAGAAATTTAATAGACTAAATAAAATATTGTGAATAAATACCTTATGTAAAAGAACATGCTACAACATTGATTGTATTATTGATGTAACGTCCTTGTTCACCAATTGTTATATATTTCTCTTATTACAACCCAGCTATTCCTATTGTTTAGCAATCTTGGACACCAATTCACATGACAAATCCCCAAATGAGAACACAGTTGAACAGAAACAAAATTATTTTCAGAATAACAAGGGTAAATGGAAGTAATAAGCTTAATAGGATGAACGTTAGTATATTTACAGCTTCTACATGAGAAGATTCTAGAGTCTTCTTCAAGTATTGACTGGCGCTTGTTGGATAATTATTAGCCAATCAGCGTGCACCAACTCAATCGTGCATAGAACATGCTTTGATCCAATTTATGAAAAGCTTACACCAAGACACCACTTCTTGAAACTATTGATATAATATGTCAGAATTCTGATCTCCTACCTTTACCAGTCCTAGATTTCAAAAAGCTACTACTCATGTGCTCAAAAGATGTTCAGTCCCAGTTCAATAGCACCAAATGCAGTCAAATTTATGGTATAGCAAAGTGAAGTCCATTAGGTCCAATTGTGGCATATATCTTTATGGGGTATCTTAAAAACACAGCGTTAAACAAACGATTAGCGAAACGACGGAATACTCCAGATGTGTTGATGCCTGTTAGAACTCCTTAATTATGTTCATCCCAAAACACAACCTACTATGCAACACGAAAAGAATGACATGTTCCACTTTCTTGATATTGTCATACAACGTAGGGGAGACAGAACAGTTCAACGTTCGGTTTATCGAAGAGTACTTGGAATGACCTTTACCCTAATTTCAATAGTTTTTGTCCCATCAGTTGCAAGGAAACATTGGTCAATACACCATTTTATAGGGTAGAAAGGATATATACCACTGGCGAACTGGAAGAAGAATTGATGAACGTTGAAAAATGCCTAAAAGACAACTGCTACTCGCGGAGCTTTACTGACAAATAAAAAATCCCAAAGGAAACATGACGGAATTGACTGCAGTCAATAAAAAATTAATATCTATAAATCTCAACTTCAAAGATAATGACGTCCCAAGCACAATCAGCAGGAGGTTAAACAATTCATTAGCAGGAACTTACCCGGCACCCAAACTATTAATTTTGTATCAAACAGCATGTTCGAAACCCAATCAAATTTCGCCAAGCACCCCTCTCATGTTACCGCCAGCTGTCTATAAATTCACGTATACCTGCCAAAGCAGCTACGTTGGTCGAACAGAAAGGAGAGCATATCTTAGATTTATTGAACATGTTCCAAATAGCCTTAGAACAAGAAAAATAACGACTTTAAACAGTTCAATCACCAAATATCTCTTGGATACAGGACACCAGGTCGATACCTTGCAATGTTCCATGGTGATTAATAAACAGCCAAGCTCCAGTCTTTTACAGTCTTCTGAAGCCGTCAGTTTCAGGTGCCAAAAACCTGACCATGGGTGCAAGACGAAATGATTATTAATCTTTCCTTGTCTTGGTAATGAATATTCCTTCGTCGCATCTTTAAATTTTTTTTCAACTTTTTCCTTCAACTATCTACATCATTACATCTTTTTATTTCGACTGTCTTCAGGATTAGTAATCTTATTTTTATTGACTGAACGTTACTTACTTTATTCTTGCTTATTATCAACGTTTACGTAGCCTCTTATTTCTAGTCTTACGAACCTTTGTTACTATCAATGTTGTAGCATGTTTTTTTTACATAAGGTATTTATTCACAATATTTTGTTCAGTCTATTAAATTTATTTACACTTTTGCCTATACTATCCTAATGTGTTTTTAAAATAGCTTCCGAATTACCTCTTTCATGTAAGTAATCAAAACCGATTTTGTACTTATAATTTTAAATATCACAGGTTGTTAGCAGCTGACGAGAACCAAACAAAATAAAATGAATTCATGCTATTCTGTTAGAATCTTTGTTCTTGCTCTTTTCAAGATGATAAAGGGAACTTTGTGTATGAGACACCAATTGTCTCAATGAAAAACGGGATACTACAATCCTTTTCAAAGAGTTTATTTGCATGTAATTTTTATATACAGAATAAAAGTCTTATTGATCTCTACTGAATATGTACCCACTTATCCCCCAATCAGCTTCAGGTGATTAGTAAACAAGTGGGATTTTCGACACATTTGATTCACAATAGTCCCGTTGATTTTTGTCAAGGTATGAAAAGTGTTCAAATTAGTTAGTTCTAGTGTATTTTGCTAGATTTTTATAAAATTTTACATTTGTATGATCACTAAGTAATCAGCAAAAATATTATGTTTTGTATTTTTATATAAATTTATTTGCTACTATTTACTTTTTTTCATTACAGCTATACACATATCCTTTTTCTTGTGTTGTTTAGGTTGTGAAACGTGGCAAATTCCGTAACATTCCGGTAGCTGTAAAACAAATGGTCGAAGGGGCTATGAATGAAGACGATTTTATTGAAGAGGCTAAAAATATGAGGTAGTTTGTTTTTGGTCGGTTTCACTTCGCATCAAATTTTGATAACAGACGACTGGTTTCTTAACATTATGGTTCTAAAGTAGAATTGTGACGGTGATTTCTAGTCTTGTCTAAGATGTTCTGCGTAAATGGTTTCATAAAGTCAATCACCGTAGCTATGTTTGTTAATCAAATATTTCGAGTTAAACAATAATTATAATCAGATACACGAAAGCTTTCATATCATTGCTCAATCTTCTATACCAAGCAAATTATTTGAGATAATAGATGATTATCTAAATTTACCCATCAAACTAAATCAAATAAGTCAAAATACATAAATATTTTATTCATCTCAGTAGTGTTTTTATGATACCGGAATAATTCCTCACTTGATGTATAATTCTAATTTTCAGTTTATACATATAACCCTTAGTATCGGACCATTCGATCAACAATCCATGGAATTATATCTTTTTGTGAAACGAGACGAAGACGTTTCTTTATGTGTTATTATCACACCAAATAATTCAACAGTTCAAAATAAGTGAAGAATTATTTACATTTACATGCATATATTTAAGATATTTATTTATTTGAACACATAAACATTGGTACGAGGGGGCACCAAATACATATGCCCCATACAGTAACAATGAGGCCAGTAGCAGTTATCATTGATTTGTGTGAGGGCTGTGATACTACCCAGATTTTCAAGTATCTGTAGTTATTCTGAACGAATCTTGATTTAAATAAAATTTGTATTTCTTTTGTGAGAAATAAATGAGAGAAAATAGTTGATAGTTTTAGTAAAGTTGAGTCAAAAAATTAGATCTTGTAAGTGGACTTATAAAATATTGTATTGTTAATCTAAAAGTTACTGGTTCAATTTTTGGTTTATCCATAACTACTCACTTTTTCATGTTTAGCCGTGATTATCAAAGAGGGGGAGAGAGAAAGGTTGTGACTGCTGGAATGTTTTGTTGCATTAATAATTGACTTGCAGTATAAACGTTTGTTACTCTTATATGTAGTAATGGCCATTTATTATATCATAAATACTGTCTGTTGTTCAATTTTTTTTCAAAGTTTCACTTTATTATGGAAATATATAACCATATAAATGTGCAGCGTGTCGTATTATTTTTCTTTTCTTTTGGTTTCAGTGAAAAGTGCATTTTCGTACAATCATGATAAATCATGATTTAACACAAAACTTGTACTCTGCTGTATTCTATTCTCGCCTTTTTGTTTTCTAAATTATTGAAATTCTCCGTAGTATACACATCAATTTATTCCTCATCTTTCACAATACTTATCCTACACTGCTGCCTTTAGTGTTAATTGATTAAAAGGAAAAACTGACCTACTCCACTCGGAAATAATACATGTGAATTTTCTTATGGTAGTAAATATTATGAAATCATTCTTTTTCTTCTTATTGTTATTAATATTATGCATCCAAAATATGTATAATGTGTGCAGATACATACATTGTTCATGAATTTATATTATTCTCTGTTCCATTTCTAGATTCCTTAATCATCCAAATCTTGTACAGTTATTTGGTGTTGTATTGAAAAAGCGTCCAATTATGATTATCACTGAATATATGAAACATGGTAGGTATCCTATTTAATATCCAGACATTCAATATCCATTTAATTTTGTTTGCTTGTTTGTTTTCTTTTTATAAGATCATTTCATAATGAATATCACTAATTCTGAGATGGTGGAGAATATTTGTAGCTCAGGTGGATGATTTTGATGGAGTTTTGTTTTCTGAGCTGGATGGTTTGGTCGTGGAGCTTTTATCGTCCTTCTGAACGACATCATCAGCACAAACTTCGGGTAGCAGTGAAGTGTTTGAATTTTTCCACATATGGTTCACAGCTTGTCCTGTGCACCTCGATGTTGATCGCTTCTTGTTGACAGGACAAGCTGTGAACCACATGTAAAGAAATTCCAGCGCTACCCGAAGTTTGTGCTGATGATGTCGTTCGGAAGGACGATAAAAGCTCCACGACCAAACCATCCAGCTCAGAGAACAAAACTCCATCTTATCACTGATTCACATAAATTAATAATAGGCCAATGTATATGAAATGTCGCTTCAACTATAATATTCAGCGTAAGAAGTAGCTAGTGTTCTAAGTTGAACGTGTAAAATTTGTATGTTTGTAGAGGGTCTAACATTTGATAGAAAAGAATTTATTTTAATTACTTTATATCGACGACTGAAAAGAATTTAGCTACACAAGCATGGTACACCTGGTCCTATAAGATATGGACTTCTTTATGATAAACTTGATGGCTGACCATGTTGAAAGCACTAAAACCTAGCTATTTTGAAGACTATATTTATCAAAGATCAATGCAGATTATTCATTTTATCAGATGGTAGTATGTACAGAACAAGACTCCAGACATATTGTAAAGGATAATTTCGATCTTGTTCATTTTTGAATTGGTATGTGTTTTATTTGATAGTCATGGTATCACTAGATGATGTGCTTTCAAGATCTAGAGGTCTTTTAATTTTATAGGTTTGAATTTCTTGTTCGTTTTAGTATTTAAGGCTACTAACCTTTTTTGGTTCGAAACTATTGGTTTCCATTATTTTTATGTATAACAATGTTTATACTCAAGGAAATGGAAGTTTGCTTGAAAATGCATTTTAAGCTCTTCGATAGTCTGGTCTTCAGTGTCATACTATTTGCCGTACACAGTACTGCATCTTAAGTTAGTGCTACAAACAACTTTGGCTCAGTTTGCACTTTCCTTTAGATTATTCAAAGTATTAGCATCACTAGTCTCTTTAAATTTTACATCATATTGTAAAGATTTTGAGTAGGATTTCCTTTTTACTCATTATTTGAAAGAGGATATTTCAATATTCATGTATCTCATTTTCTCATTGTAGAATATATCATCTAATTTTATTATCACAAACTCCTTGCTTCTGACTTATATCAACTTCATTTCCATAATGGTTAGGCTTATTAACAAGTTCAAACATTGTTTAATCTTCCCGAGAGTTTTGTTGACTTATCAAACATCTGATTTTAGCTAAGAAGTGGAAATAGCTTTTCTACCGTCTTTAAGGTGCTTATTTGACTTTGGCATTAAAGTGTATACTAGTTCCGTAACAATGTGCTCATCTGTAATTGCTATGTAGCTCAATCTTTCCTTTTTGAAGATCTTGATTATGATTGATTTTCTATCTACACATGCGTTTTATTTATTTCTTTACTTGAACATATAAACATTGGTACAAAAGGGCACCAAATATATATACGCCGCACTTCGTCATTCGATTTGTGCGAGGGCTGGAATATAGCCCAGGGGCTCAAACCGAAACAGTTGGTTTTCTTAGAGGCTCACTCCTCGTGCCTTTGACATAGATGTCTAATCCTCAGGACAGTGGAGCAGCGTTAGGAGATGCAGTCCCATAGAGATAGATGGAACTAAGTCAGCGATCCATATAACCTTTAGTAATTAGTCTCAATATTGTGGAAAGTTATATTTAATTCCTAGAGATAAACAAAAATTGAACTGGTTCGATATAATTCTAAATGCCAGAGTGATTCCTTACTATTCACTTGTTTCTACTCAAAGTGTCGAAATTTACATTTTTTTCTTTTTACACACTTATTGACTTTTTTAATATATTAACCGTTTTATTAATGTGATAGTAGTTGTCTGTCTAGTTTATTTGTCAACCGTACAGATTTTTAAGTGTCTACCCATGTAAATCTTTTAAATATGTTATTATCTCGACTGAGTGTCCCCAAAAGTCGGGAAGCAGAGTTAAGCTTCAAGGATAATGTGTAATTATAGGTAATACATTTTTTCGATTATATAAACGAACCTATATTTAGTAATCCTTGCTTTTTGTTTGGTAAACAGTGAGGTAAATGTGTTCTTGTCGAATTATATCATCTATATACGATAGCTAGCATCTAGGAAATGTATTGTACTGTATTTTATAAAGCTGTATCTGTGGCTGCGTTGCCCTTATAGTGATAAGAATGATTTATTGTACTCAGTGTTTGTTTTATGTAGTTTGGTACAGAACTTGCATGAACCAGTAGTAGTCAATGCTACGTTCATTTCAAAGGTAAACAATTAGTTTCATTAAATCTCACTCAGTTTTCATCAACTTTATTAGGTCTATGTTTTGTGTTAGTCTTAAGTATGCATCAAAAAGTATTGACTGGATTCTCATGTCCTAAAATGCAGTCATCATTTTACTGACCTATAAACATCATTTGGTTATATCAGTTAGACGGTGTCATAGTAGCATCTGACTAGGAAAGTTCTATGAAAAATATTATCCCAACTCAGAATCTTGGATTGTCATTTAAAATGGTGACAGCAGACGGTGTCCCCTAAGAAACCTACTGTCATCCCCATCCAATGTATTCGTAAAAACCAGTGATGGAGATTATTTTAGTTCCTAGCCTTTTCATATTGGTCTCCTGCTAAGAGATTCTCTAATCAACGTAAGCCTTACAGGCGCTACACTGACACATGCTACCAATCCGAAAAGTCACTGTCTGTTGACATGGATTACATTCTGTGGTAAAAACTTTCTAGATGAGATCCTTCAGATGGTAAGAGAATATCATATAAGGCTTAAATGATATGGCTCAAAATCGGTCACAATAATACAAATGCATTCGAACATTGTCATCTTCTAGACTACTATCACCTAATTATCCAAATTTTCTATTATTATTATTACAATTATTCATTTCATTCTCTTTCCATTTTCGTTAATTTTCCCATTGCGTGATATGCTAGGTTGGACAACTTAAATCTGTTCACTGTTGCGCTTTATTTTACTTTGATATATATGTTCAGTTTTACCAACAAGATATGTATGGGATCAAATACACTAACTAGTTACAAAAACACACGTTAAATGTTCTTTTTCGCTCTAGTGTTAAACAGAATAAAAGTTTTTTTCCAGTGTTACTACATAAATTTCTCCTTAACCATCGATTTTAATAGACTGTTTTTACTCTATTGCATTACAATTGTTCATCTTCTTAGTGTACACGTTACAATCCCATATTGCTGACCCGAGTGTATTTAAAAAATTACGAGTTCTCAGTGGTTTTTAGTTTTCAATAATTTATTCCAGCTGATGTCAGTTAGCTATAAAAATAATGTTCATATTACATAAAAATCTCCACAAAGCATTCTAATCCCATAGGTAATTACATAAATGGTTTCAAGATGAATGTTTTTAAATATCCCACTCTGTGCGGTGAATCTAGCTAGAATTAGGGTGTTACAAAATGAGTATCTGATAACGCAAAAAGAGATTGATAATTTTGTTCACATTTAGCGATCACATAAGTGCTGTTTGTTGATCAGTACCAAACTGGAACAAAAAAGTTGTCCAATGATTTCAACTCGTAGTGACAAATACTTTCGGAATATTCGTCAATAAAATATCGTCTATTCTTTGGTCTAATCATTAATTAACTTATTCATTGATTTATGAGTATTCATTTGTCTTATTGTTTACAATTTAGTCTTTTTCTGTTTTCCAACCATTATCCATTAATTCTTATGAATATGTATCGAACAATACTTTCTATTTTGTCAAGGTTAAACTTGTTTCTTCCACTTTCTGATTCCATTTTGTGAAATCGATTATTTCCATAGTTATTAACAAGACCTTTATTCAACTATCTATGCAATATAAATCTAGTGAATTGAAATTCTAAAGTTATTTTTTCAAAAAAAAACTGATAATAAATAATTGTAGTTCTAAAAATAATTCTAGAATTTTTCATCAGCATAGTTGGTAAATCAACAACCGAAATAGATAGCATCAATTCGTTAGTTCTATTTTTTTGACATAAATAAATATCTATCTGATATAAATTCATATATATGTATATATATATATATACATTCACTAGCTTCCCCCTACACATTATTATTATTATTATCCCCGTTGTTCATCAGATTTCTCCTCTATATTTGGCTTTTTACTGTTAAGGAAATGATAGTTAAAGTATTTGTGAAAATAATAACTACCATTTTTATTTTTCATATCATGAGACCTTTTAAAACTTAGTCTGTTTTGTTTAAAGACCGTATTCAAAATTCAGTCGTATTTAGTTATAATCCTGTTTATAAATTCAGTATATCTATGTACTTCGAAAACACATTACTGTTTTGATATTTTCTGTTTGATAATTTGAAGACTAGAGTATATGTACCATATTCATTAAATTCCTCACAAAGTTTTTGAATCAAAATTCAGATTATTTATTGTTAGATATTCACTGATGCTTATCAGTTTTTATTCGAACTGTTTGTTAAAATAGTGTATAATTGAAAAACAATGTATCAGGTGTATGTAATCCGATCTTGAAACTTCTTTGTAGAGTATTACGTAAGTAATTAATAACAATGTTACGGATAGAAGATTTAAGAGACTAATCATATACCAAAAACGTCATATTATTCAGTAAAGTGGTTTTGTGTTAATTCATTGACGTTGTATGGAAAATGGTTTTGAATTGAATGAGATACGTTGAATGCAATCAGCACTGTTAAATCTTAGTTTATGACTCTTCAACTGCTGGCACATAAGGCCACATACGGTATGAAGTCTTTGAAATAAGGATCCTACCGATAAACTGTTATGTCAGAAATTAGTGGTTCAGATTTTCAACTTCAATCAACTCATGATATATAATGTGATCTACATCAATCACCGCTTCACTGATGAGATGTGTGGAATTAGAACGAGACGTTTTTTTAAAGCTTTTTTTTCAAATGATGCTTATCCGATCGTGTAATGTTATATTGTGACTTATTTTAATGGCTAAATCCAACATTTTCTAATCAGACTATTGTAATGTGATCGAATATCTTACTTTTCTTGTCTGCAAACGTCTTATTTGGAATTCATTGCTTTCTGTTTCAATAAATTACCAAACGATAATGTTGTTTATTATTTTCAACCAGTTGACTTGTAAATATCGAGTCAAAGTCCGTTTATCAACTTTGTGATGAATTACCAATGTATTTGTTTATTCAAAGTAATCATATATATATATATATATATATATATATATATATATATATATATATATATAAACTGTCGTCGCGCGGTGATGATAATAATTATGATCGTGACCAAAATCTGTGCATTGTTAATGCGAATGAAAGAACGTTCTGATTAGCCCGATCAAATACATTGTGTAGTTAACTTAGGTTAATTATCAATAGTTCAAATTCAATTGCAATAATATGTACAGCTTTTACTTTCATTAACTATAGCTTCACATAATAAGATGAATGGTTTTTCGTCAAGAAGACTGTTAATAACAATGCGGAAGGGGTTAATTTCATTAGATAAATAACCAGGTCATATTAAAATAGCTGTAATGTATTGATTAGAAACTAAATGAAATGATTTAACTTCAAGCTTAGTTAAAATAACGGGAATATATGATCAAACATATTTACTCTGGTTAAATAATCACCAATTCTTTTTCTGTAGTTTATTTCAAACCAAAATCATTCCATGTTTAAATAGCACAAAGGAACAACGCAAGAATATTATATGCGATCAATCAAAGAACAGGTCTTATCAAGTAAATGTCATGTCATTTCAGTCAAGGTGATTTATAAGCGACATGTATGTAAGACGATGCTTGTAAATATTCAACAGGAAACCCTGGACCTATGTTTCGTGCTACTTGGTACTCGTCAGCAAGGTGTACCTGCAATCTTGAGGGAACTGACGACGGATTCGATCCTGTGTCACCCAGCTTCACAGTCAGAGACGTTATCACTGAGTTATCCGAACCACGACCGACCTCCTGTAGGACTGAGATGTCTTTACAACTGATTGATCACTGGGTAGTGATCAATATCAATGACATGCATGACATTAATCGCCACCTATCAATTGTAAAGACATGTATGTAAATGTGTGTGTGTCCAGGGTCAGGGACGAAAAAAGCTGACCTTTGTGGAGACTGGTCAGTAGTTAGCACATGATAATTTCGGAGTACTATATTCCTGTGAATTAGAGCTAATTTTTCTCATTGAGGAAAATATCAAGCTTTATTAGTATATAGTTAATATTATAACCACTTTTTTTTACAGTATTTAACAAATCTAAGTTTCATGTGTGATATAAAAGAAAATTGATAACTCAAGAAGATTATTTCGCTTAATAATACTAGCCCTAGCCCTCACAAAAATAGTCTAAATCATCATATTTCTCAAGTAAAACTATATTCGAAGTAATGAATAGAATACTTAGAACTCAAAATATAACTATATGCTAAGTTACTGTTAATGTCTTATAGTGAATATGACTAATTTTTTAGATTACCTATATTTATTTCACATCTTATAATCTGCAAATGTAGTAAAGTTGTTTATGCTCATCTTTTCAGCTGATAAGTCTGATGAATCTGTATATTGAAAAAATAATACTATCAATATGTGTGTATCAGCTGTTATATATGGACAAATAAATGTCTTAATACTATAATCATTAGTTATTTTAGTAAATAATATCGAACTTTTAGTAAAATCTTCATTTTAAAAGACTAATTTGTTCTAAATTGTATAACGCAACATGATGCTTCTATATCAAATCAGTCATATCTGTTCATTATTTACTTCTACAATAAACTAGTTGAATATTTTAATTAACTTTTCTATTGTTCTTAATTATAAGACATATTGTGTCCATTTATTTACTTCATCATAAGAATATAAATCAATTTTCTTAAACCTAGGTTCATTACGTGATTTTATGCGACAGCGTCAGACACAGTTTTGCAATCGACCAGTTGTTATGTCTGATATTTGTGCTCAAGTAGCAAATGGAATGGCTTACTTGGAACAAGAACAATTTGTACATCGTGATTTAGCAGCACGAAATTGTTTAGTAAAATCAATTAATCAGAATTCAGTTCACGTCAAGGTAGCTGACTTCGGTATGGCACGTTTCTTACTAGATAATGTATATGAACCAAGTGCTGGGACAAAATTCCCTGTTCGTTGGGCACCCCCTGAAGTATTTCAGTCTACTTATACAGCTAAGGCAGATGTATGGAGTTTCGGTAAGAGTAAATAGTATCGTTGAATATTTATTTGTTTGATAATATAAAATCTTTTATTTTTCTATTCACAAATTTATTTAATTTTTTCTTCTCATTTTCACTTAGCAAGAATGCAAACAGGAAAAATTTGCATAAATCCACGGTAGAAATCAGAACTATTCTAGATTTTTTCCATGGAAAGAAACTACCTAGACCATTATTATCATTACGAATAGGTGAACATCATCTATAACCCGGTATATAGTTTAACAACAGTATAAAGAGTCGGTTTCATTTAGTCTACTTTAAACAGTCGGTTTTTATTATTGTAAAACAAAGTTTTTATTCAAAATTTCTTTAAGGTCAGCTTTTATCAAAATGTCTATAAAACTTGTTGAAGTTATCTTTTTAATTGATTATCGATTTTCTACTTGTTTTATATATCCATGTTTTGTTTTACCCTGATATTGCCTCTCTTTTCTCTCTGTCTAATCTGAGTTCATAAGGTTAAACTGGATATAATTTGATAAGTAAATTCGGAGTTGTATGGGACTTCTTGTTTATCTTATTTAATATTTGTTTAATTTTGTAGACTCAAACTATAACATTTCAAAAATATCATACGTGTAAAGTATTATCGTTCAAAAGGTTTGATATCCCATTAACTACCAGGTACTCATATGACAGAACGAATATAGGTGGAAGCGTTATTAATTACCTTGCGAATGTTTCAATATTTAGTCAGTCATTTGTAATTTGATAAACAACATTACAGTCATATCATTTTATGTTTGGGTTATAAACTTAGGTATTTAGTAGTATATTCAATTGTCTTAATTTCTAATAAATTTTCAGACGACCTGGATTATATATCCATTTATTTTAGCATTTTGTTTTAATTGACTACTTCATCTCAACGTCCAATCATCATTTTGGTCATATGAGGTTATGCATGTAGTATATTCATGACTACCTCAAAAAACGTTTGTTAAATGTTGACGGCATATGAAAATCTGAACAATTTTCTTCCTTTTGAACTTCACGATTTCACATCATATTTTTGTAGGACGTTTTTAAACTGGCATATTTTGATGCAGTTTTCATAAACACTAAATTTAATTATTTTATGAAAACAAAGTGCTCTTCATCTTTTTTTATTATCAATACACAACTATTATTATTGTCCTTTACAAATGATTTTCTATCATATCGTTATTTAGTCAGATGACTTAACAATGTTTTGATTTATAAATAAGGTAATATATTTGTAATATCCCAACGAGTAGAAAAATTAGATTTCCAGGTGTTTCGTGACTCAGTGTAAGCCACTTCTTCAGAGAATAAATAACCAAACCAAAATTATTCCAAGTTCAAATAGTACAAAGGAACAACGCAAATACCTAAGAGCATCTCGATCTTTTGTGGTGCGAAAATATAGAGTTTAATTTAATTTGTATATAGGATAATAGTGTGAAATTTGAATGATATCAGACATGGTAGCTGGGATAAATAGTTCAAGTCGGATGTATAATGAGGCCTTCTTTTCTATTGAGAGCAGTAGAATCAAACATTATATGGAGAGCTCCAGCTACTTTCGTTTCTTTGTAGTTGGAAAAACCTTTTTGTAATATTTTGATGTTCTTGAAATCGATTTGATGGTTGTTGAAAATGACGTGAACTGCTATTGCCGATTTAGTTTGAAGTCTATCCAGTTTTACTGGATTATTAGGTGGCTCCTTGTGTACCTTATTTGTTCTTTGGCTCGAGTCAAGATTTTACGAGATCACTCTTTAATATGGAAGGCATCACAGTCGACACATCCTAATTTGTAGACATAATTCTGTGTTGACATAGAGGTTATTTTTTCCATTATGCGAATTAAAGCATTCCGAAAGATATTTGTTATTTTGGAATATACTTTAATTTTTTCGTGTTCTTCTGTTGTGCCGTGGTGGTATGGTAAAATTGCAGTGCCAATCCATTGTATGTCATTCCAGTTACTATTTAGCAGTGAAACGTCTCGTTTTCATACACTTCTAATAATCTTCATAGGAAAATTACTAAATCGTAAGATGTTAATTACATTCTTTTATTCTTTTTGTTTATTTTCTTCCGATGTGATAAACTTATTAGCTCTTCTAAAACGATTTATTGCTAGCGCGATCTTAGCACTGAATAGATGCGCTGTATTGAAGTCTATATAACGATTTGAGTGTTTAAGTCTTCGGTAGATAACTGAATTTAGAATTCTGTTTAGATTTCTTTTCATTAAGCAATCTAAAATTGGTAGCTCATCATGTTCATTTTCATCCCTATTCGTAACCTTGATATGAGATGAAGGTGTATTTATCCGTGTCGAAAAAGATCTTAGATGAGTCTTTTTTATCACAAAGAAGGTATAATCTACATATCTAGGTCAAAGTCGTGGTTTAATGTCATTGGAGAAAATATTAGATTCTATTTGTGCAATAAACATAATATTCTTGCGTTGTTCTTTTGTACTATTTAAATTTGAATTAATTTTGTTTTGGCTATATATTCTCTGAAAATGTGGTTTACACTGAGTCACGGAACATCCGAAAATCTAATTTTCCTACTCATTGGGATTTTACAAATATATTATTTTATTTATAACAATCTACCCAATGCTCAATTTATTCGATATTATCAAGTCAAACTTTGGTTAAAAAAACATCTACAAATGTTCTGATTTGTTATCGTACATTATTTTGTTTGTTGTTATTAAATAATTTGATATTCCATAATTTTTGTATTTTACTTGCAGTCTTTCCTGTTATCTCTCAGATTTAGTAAAAGTGTGTTTGAATGTCACCATTTTTTCAGTAATTTTTCAAGGTATAATTTATCGCTATTTTCCTGTACACTTCATCGTATCTCTTATTCGATTAACCAATTGAAACTTATTCAATACTTCATAACTGCAATCAGTGTTTTGTAGACTTTAGACGGCTCGATTAAAAATTGTTTAGAATAGGTTTTTTTTACATATGTTCAGTTTCTTATCTGAAATACTATATTTCAACATCATTTCATATTTTTTTATTTTTCATTTTCACGCATATGTATACCAATAGTTACGTGACTAGCATTAGCAATCGATAACAGAATATGAATAAGAATAAAATGCCTCACCCTGAGGTTGTATTTAATTTCTTTCTATATGTGTTTACAAGCAAAACTGATTATTTTGATGTTGCTAGTTGCCTATATCAAAGTGGTGGATTGTACATTGAATGATATAAAAAAGTAATTTTCCAGAAAATCTTCAAATTTCCGAACTTCGATTTATGTTTTCCCTTAAAAACTTACCAACTCATCATACTGAATAACTCTACATACTAGTTAATGTATATAGTATCATTTATTTATTAGTCATTTTTTATATCACCTGCTTTTTTTTATTTGAAATTCTTGTGACCAAGTCAATACTACTTCCTCGATTTTATTCGATGTGTTAATCTTTTTGTCTAATAAAACCCCATTCAGTTCACCAATCATCATGTATACAAACATACATACATGAACGGACAAATTGTAATATATATATATATATATATATATATATATATATATATATATATATATATATATATATATATAACGGTCAAATGATACCTGTATAATTGGTGAAAGATATTCCCTATGTTTGTTTTATTTCTGCTACCATTATTATTTTGAACGGAATTAGAATCACTTTTGCTTCTTTTTCTTCTGTTACTCTGCCCTTGTCTCCACATGTGTGCTTTTTGTTTAATCTGAACTGAACTGAATTGTTTTCCCACACATCATATATATATAAGCACATATGTGGGAGAAGTATACTAATCTAGCTTGATATTATGTGTTAATTTATGTTCAGTTAACGACATCTGCAGCTGCTTAACACTTACTGCTGACTTATAAACAGGGCAGAAAATTAATACTCATAAATGAAATTGTTTTAACTGGTGTACATATTAGATGTGTTTGGAAAAAACTTTCAAATTCTTATTGTATGTCGAAAGAAAATGTAAAGGTCATCCATTTAGGTAATTAACATAACATTGTGTGATTTATATGACCACAGACTAATCAATTTAATGCTGAGAATAATTTGTTCATCATTTACCGTATAATTAACTAAATATGTCCAAATTAGAATTAGATGATAACTTGTTTTAAAAAGTTCCTTGTTACCGATTCTTTTGGAATGGCTATTTTGAAAAACGTAAATTTAAATAAACTTATTCATCTAGTAATTGGATATGAGTTACACTCTTAGTGTGAGAGTTAATGATACTCGTCCAGTTGCTTAAACCGAAGTAGGTGAAGCGAGGCTCAAACCCGAGATTCAAACTGAAAGTCCTGGTCATGCTCTCAAAGTTTATCATTAGGGCTGAATAAAAAAAATCCACCGTTATTTTAACGTCAGCCACTAGTTAATATAAACTTGAGCTTACGTTAACAACTCTTGGTATATTTTGACTAGTTATCATACCCCACACCAAAGTTTAACAGTGACACATTCTTGCTTACTAACGTACTTTAAAATTGCACTAAAGGTTATGTTTATTGCCAATATAGAATAAGACGTAAGCAGTTGTTGGATTAATATCAATTTTGTGACTTGTGATAAGTAACATATCGATTATGATTATTTTATTGTTAAAGGTTGCACACATTTTGTACCATGTATTTACATGAAGCAGATGTGTAAAAATGTCTTCCAAATAGTTTTCGATAAAACTGTAAATTATCTTTTATCGTTTTCACGTTAACTATATTCCATTTATAACTTTTGTTAATATTCAACAAATCTCTTTCATTACAATCTAGCATTTATATAGTGTAACAAATAGATTTATGAATTCACTAACGTATCACAACAACATATGTCTCGCTTGCAATCTAAATAATTAGTTGCATAGCAAAATGAATTCTTTTTAACTGAATGCCTTTCTCATCATTCTATTGCATTAGAAAAGTGTTTTTTTTAGATCTCTATCGAAGTTCATCTGGATTCCATAATATATTTGTTAATTTCTTAATATTTATTTCTTTTTTATTTTGAAAATTGCCTCAGTATTTTTTCACTATAAATATTCTTTTCTATCCTATTTGTCTTTTTAATCTTAACTAGGTGTACTTATGTGGGAAGTGTTTACCTGCTGTTCAGAAAATCCTTATCAAGGCATGAATAATACACAGGTCTACCAGTATATTGTTGGCGGTGGGCGATTGCACAAACCTGCTGTATGTCCTGATCGAATTTATGTTTTAATGCTTGAGTGTTGGCAGCATGTAAGTTTTAAAGTACTTCTATTATTTCATTTAAGTAATCAGGATCGTTGCCTTTTTTAGAATCAGAGGGTCCCGGTACCAAAGCCATCGAGTTTGAGTTAATTTTTATCTACAAAATAGGATAAAAGTTGTAGTTTCAATATTCTTTTATATAATCAATTCTACTACTGAATAGTTTAAAAATTATTCATTCATGATTTATGAGCTACACTGTCATAATCAAAAAGTTTCCAAATTATTCGCTTCAACATTTTACTATACATTAACTGTGTTTATGATCAGGGAAGAAATATTTTCCCGTTAGTCCCGTAGTATTTTCTACCTAATACAACAACAAAACTAATTTGTTATTCTTCGTGCAGACTAACATCATGAAGTAACACATATACTGATATTTAGCTGTCAAAGTATTCCTAATTAACTGACAACAATGCAAAGCTTACGACTCGTTTATGAATAAGTATGACCATGCAAATTATGTATAAAGATATTCTTTATTATACGTTTTTGTTTAATTATTTTGTATTTCGAAGCAAGCAAGAACAAAGACTTGAGCAGAATGACATGAATTCACGTTATTCCGCTCAAATCTTACTTGCTTTAAGATGATAAAGGGAACTATATTTTGTATTTATTTTTGAAGAACGTCTTTTGTGTTTAAAACTAACGATTTTTAATGATCCTAGTTGTCATTGGTTGTTCAACTTAGGTCAATTTTTGATCTCTATAATCAAGATATCTTATTTGTAAATGCATTCTCATTATATGAACTTTTATCATAAGTTGAACAATTTTAAAAGTATCGTATAATTTTCTTTATATATATATATATATATCATTATTTGATCAATTTTTATTGCTTAACTCTTGTATTTATAGGATCGTAGTAAGAGACCAGCATTTGATTATATTTGTCAAAAAATTGGAGGATACCTTGATCAAAACTGTGAGAATTGACCTCTTGGTAGGGTAAACAATAACGCGTAGAAAATAATCAGTTTTTATATAGATGAAGAAAATGACGAGCAATCTTGAGACCTGTTTTTTGACGAATTAATCTTCGGAATTTGTATTATTTATTCTCAAATAAAAAAAAGATTCCGAGAGTTTTTCCACATCTCTTAACAATGTATGTAAAAAGAAACTGATCACTTTGTACGATTGTCTACTGAAAAAAAATCAAGGGGAGTATATTACAAATTGTTGTTCAAATATGTACGTATATCATCAAAGTTTATACCATGACAACTATCCACGTGTGTGAATGCTAAGCATTTCAATAAAATAATATCATTCACTATGTTAATCGTTTCTTTGGGTTGTTTAGCTACTTTTTTCATGCTTGTATCTCTCTGGATTTAGTTTTCATTGTTTTGATGCATTTATATACTTTACCTGTGTAGTCATGTACATCACCTCATTTATTTTAATTAAATTATTCAAATCACGATATTCCTTTTTTTAATATTGTCCAAAATGTTCCGGTGCTATTTTTACTGATTCCGTTCTGAGATTCAACGAAATTCTATGGGAAATTGTATTAATTGGCTTTTGAATTCTTCCGTGTTAAACAAAAAATAAGCGGTTTGCTTCATTCTTTTTCGGATGTTTGAATATTCGTTGAACAGTGTATCGTATTATGTGTTTTTTCATGTTATTATTGTCGTTGTTACTGCGCAATCTTTTCTCTTACTTCAAATAAAACAATAATCTATATAAAGAATTGTGTATTTCATTGTTTCCTTCCACATTTCATAATGCTTCAGCATTTTATATGGCTTTTGCTAAATGCTCTTGTAAAGTGATTGCCACAGATGATGCTAACTGGCGCAACTGTTCTCTTCGCCCTCCTTTTGTCTAGCCCTATATATACATAAAATTGTATTTATTGTGTATAGTGATTTTCAAACAATTATCAGTATAAATATAGAAAATTATAAGCTTATTATTATTACTACTAGTATCACTACTTCTGACATTACCACCACGACTTGAAAAAGACGCTCGATGAATAAACTTACTACTTTTTTTGTATTTCAGTTTCCATTTTCCTCTCATCATTATTTACATTTTCATTTATCTAATATATATACATATATCTATTTAACCGGAAAATTTCTTATTTCTCTATTATTATTTTATCACATCTATGTTTATACAATTTTATATTATTAAAATAAATAACTAATTGTTATCAGAAGGAGTTTTTGTAGATGTTATAGTAATTTTTAATAGTTGAGATCATGAGTCAATTGAAGCTAGACTACCACGAAAAACATGGAAGCATATATAAATTATACGTTAGCTCAACCAGTTCCTCATCACAATCATTAGTTATTTCTCTTGATAAATGTGATAACTACCAATGGTACACACTATGTAGAATACATACTATCTAATCTACTAAAATAATTTACTTATCAAAACTATTTTCACCACATATTATCCGGTAATACCCAGATGATCACTAAATACCTAGAAACACTTGTGACTTTTTATAATTCAGTCCTGATATCTAACTTTAGAGGCTATGTGTTTTTTTTGTTAGTTCGTAACCATCCAGTCACCGGGAACGAAATCTGTACCGAAGATAAAGTACTTAGATATTTTTTTATAACTTATCAAACTAAAATGAAATTTAATCATGGTTGGTTTCTGATATTGTTTGTTCATGTCATCATTATTAAAGTTATACTTGAATTACACATTATGGATTCAATATAAAAGGAACTAGTTTCAAAGTGTTGGAACTAGATTAACATTCAGAGTTATGGTCAAATATTTATAAGGCTAGAGATGTTACATAAATTGATTCATAGCCAGTTATTGTAATATAACAGCGTTCGAGATTAATTTTTAAAATTACCTGATTTGATAACTAAATAGATACTCGATCAGCTGCTATATTTTCTGTCTAATAATCGTTTGATTTATTTACTTAACTACGAAATCTTTTTCTTTCTAACACGTTCCAATTTTAAAAGATTTGACTTTAGGGAACTTTAGTGGTCTATATTGCATCATCCAGTTTTTTCATTTCGATTAATTAATATTCATCAGTGTTGGCTGATCATTCCAAACAATTGATGTAAACTAAGCAAATAATGTAAAGTCTGTTTGAAACTACTTACTATTCTATAGTTCATTTTTGAACGTGAATTTACGTGACCATTTGGTCACTTGTTGTTCATGAATTATCAACCTCTCACGTCCATTCAGCATCTTTAATGAGCTAGCCACTCTTTTAACCGATATACATCAATCTACTAACAAAAAATCACAATAGTAAAAGGATTTAATATCATTTGAGATTATCAAATACTGGTTGAACATTGAACTTACAACATTCATAACGTTCACTAGTCTGGTATTTAAAAATCTCACTGTATGCTTTAATATTTTTTCCAGAGAGATAGCTAAAATGATAGATTTCTACTACATTAGTAAAAAGCGATTACGTATTCATGAGTCTTTTGGGCTTAAAACTTCTCAACACCTTGTTGATAAACATTATGACTAAATTATTTTATGATCCGTCAGTTTATTCAGTTGAGAGAAACAAGTTTACACTTTGATAGTTTATAATTATACTAGGAATTTTAAATGGAAAATGTTCATGATCTATCCGTCTGAACAATATTTTTGACATAAACACTGATTTTATCATAAGGTTTATTTGCACATTTAATAAGTTTACATTCTCAGCTGCCTTGAGTTTGCATATCAACTTTGTCTGGTGAAATATTTCAAATTTCTCACTTTGTAAGACGTTACCAATGCTAGGAAACTTCAATATTCAGCACAACTTGCAGGGATGACTAATCCTATTGTAGTGAACGAGAACACAAGTAAGGACAATCAAATGTACTCGAACACAAAATTGCAGAACGTCTTAGTAAAATTTGTGACCATACAGTGAATACGTAGTTGGCAAAATGTAAATCAATTGTCTCAAACTTGATTGCTTCTTTTGTAAATATCAGTCAAACTTCATTGTTCCTGCATTTCCATACCAATTGCTTTCTGTCCCCGTTCTTTGCTCCTCGATTTTATTGACTTTCTGATACCATTCTATTCCTGACTGGCGTTATATACTACTTATGTCGATATAAGTAGCACACACCACACTATCAAGATCAGTAATTTGAAATACACGTATATTTTGAAGTTAATGAGAATTAGAATTTGTTAATATCTATAATTAACTTGCTGAAAATTTGTTTATCTTTTATAATTAGATAAGTGTGTATTCACCGTGCCATAACAACATAAAATCGTCTCATACTACCTAGTTATCTTTCATGTTATCTCGTGTCATTTTGTGTTTGCTGACAATACTCCCTATACCCACCTTCCTATTCAATATGCAAACAATGTCCAGATAAATTCGAACACAAACAAGTATAATAGAAAAAAGACTAAACAATTAAACTTGTCGTGATTTTCAATTAGTATTCAATGCCTAAAATGAATTTAAATATTAGTTCGATACTTTTCTTGTTTTTTTTTCAATGATAGCACCTATAGCTCAAAGTGCATGCCTGTACTTGTATACAGTATTTGAAATAACACTGAAAAGTTAAATAGGTTCGGTGTTACCTTGTTGCTAGTTGAAATTAATAGTTTATTTCAGTATTCCAGATGACTCATATAAATATAAATGTGATCAATTAAAACAGTGATATTTCATGTGCATTAAGTTTGATGTAGGCAAAATTAGTATTTTTTTTCTACTTCCTTATTTCAGTAACTTAACAATAGATGAGATTCTAAATGTTCACAATGTTCATCTTAATATCATGCCTACGTTTCTTGCCTTCCTTTTTTGTATATTTATTTAAATTATTCATTTTATAAACTTTTACGTTCATACGAGTTCTCTACACAAAAGCCTAAGGTGTATGCAAATGCTATTTGTTTGCTGTTTTTTGTGAAATTTCAGACGGACTACTTTCTTTTATCTGTCTATTCCATTTAAGTGTAAACGTGCAATATATACATACATAGATAAGGGTTAGAAACAAAATCAATTATTGAAACAAGTTCACATAACCTATGGTAACCTTTTTGGAGAAAAAAAGTACAAAAGAGACCGAATATATGTTAATTTTAACTGTACAATAATCAATAAGATATTGCTTTTTTAAGTAAATCAAATGTGCACTTACCAGTGTAATTTGTCTCACGGTCCAATCAATTTTATTATTCCTTTCACATGGACTGGAAATTAATTGGCCCACTATATATATATATATATATATATATATATATACCTCTATTTTAAAGTTAATCGAAATCCGAACAACTGTAAGAAAACGGTCCTTATGGCTTTTATTTCAGCTGTATGAACGAATTGAATTTTTTCCATATTTTTCTGATAGTTTGTAAATAATCTCAAGTTGAACTTGAAATAAAAAAAGAATTTCTATCAAATTGTAACCAAGCCTAGTTGATAAGTGTGTGAATGAAGTAGCCTCGTTGTGGATTGTGTCACCAATAAAATTCTCTTATTTCTGTACATGTATGTCATCGTATGGATTGAAAATTTTGTTGGTAAATTAGTTCAAACTATCTGGAAATTTCATTGTCTAAAGTGTGCTTGATAACTTTCCTTCGTCTTAAGTATAAAACACAAAATTGGTCGTATAATTAGGAGAATCATCATCAAATATCCCGTGGACATTTCGCTACCTAAATTAAAATGATTTATTTCTTGTTAATTACAAGTAGGACTCGATAAGGATGTACAAAGAATACACTAAATTTATAATGCAATCTTTCCTAGCCTTCTATAGACATATATTTTCCATATAACTATATATACGAATGTCCAGCCTAAGTAAATGATTTCGTCGAAAAGAAAATTTTCTTCGCTGAATTCTCTTTTTCTTATCCAATGACACTAATTAAGTCATTTGTTATTATAAAGTTCTGTAGAAGAAGAGATAGCTTAAAAA